GTTTTAGTAAGATTGACCACTCCTGTGAGTTTAATGACAATTGGCCTATCTGTTCTTCTTATATTGTGTTTACAGTGTTGCATATATGCTGAAAAATGAAAAAACAGCATAACTACTAAAATAGTGGCCCTATCATGCCGATTTTCAAACTTGACCTGCGTTTTAGTAAGATTGATTACTCCTGTGAGTTTCATGACAACAGGCCTAACGGTTTTCCTTAAAATGTGTTTACAGGGTTGCATATATGTTGAAAAGTGAAAAAACAGCATAACTTCTACAATAATGGCCCGATCATGCTGATTTTCGAACTTGACCTGCGTTTTATGAATATTCATCAGCTCTGTAACTATAAACCCAAAAAGTAAAACTGCCCTCCACTTATCGTGTTTACAAGGAAAGTGCACGGCGCCGGCGACGGCGACGGCGACGACAGACGCAGGTGATGGCAATATGTACAGACACATCTGTGTCTGTACATAAAAATGGAGTGCTTCAACCAGCCAAAAACATGACTTTCAGCCACTATGTTTAAAGCACATGCCATGAACAACATTTTAATTGAAGTATTTATTTGTATATGTTTTGTGCATATAAGTTAATTGGCTAAAATAAAAAAAAAAACATTGTTTACAAATGAGATGTGTGGATCAAGCATGCTACAATGCACATTACAATTCTAATTTTTTAATAATAAAGAAGTGTGGATAATTATAAAAGCCCATGCTTTTCAATCACATTAAAAAAATCATTCAAAGCCAAATCTTGTGATACATGTAACTGGCCTTGTGTCTCTACAGAGGTAAGAAAGAAGGCCAATTATACCCACTGTTACTTGAAAAACAAAATCAACTGTTCATTTTGTGTACAACCTGCAAGAAGTCCAGTTCCCTGTTTACCATGGCTGTCCTGTCTCTGGCTCTTCACAACCCATTCATCCTGAAACTTGCTGTGTCTTGTTCAACTGTGTGAGATGAAGGGATATTCCTGCAACTGCCAGTTCCTGTCTATTTCATATTAACAATACATGTCCCCATGTCCAGCCAGGTAAAGTCAGTTCACCTAGAAGACACCATGCTGTATGGAGACTGGAGCTGGAAAAAGAGACAAAAGATTATATTAATGAAGTGACATAAATTATCTTAATAAAAAGACAGAACCCTGACAGTCCACAAGAGTCAGCAGAATATTATACCTACAATATACTGCCGAATGTCCACCTAATACGACAGAAATCATAGTTGTGGCAACTGGACCAAGACAAGTTTAAAATGTATTTTTGATTACTTATTATCTCAGATTACTTTTTTCAGGACAGCGATCCACCTTCATCCTGATTTAATATAAATTATGTCAGATTACTTTTTTCAGGACAGCGATCCGCCTTCATCCTGATTTAATATAAATTATCTCAGATTACTTTTTTCAGGACAGCGATCCGCTTTCATCTTGATTTAATACAAACTATCTCAGATAACTTTTTTCAGGACAGCGATCCACCTTCATCCTGATTTAATATAAATTATCTCAGATTACTTTTTTCAGGACAGCGATCCGCCTTCATCCTGATTGAATATAATTTATCTCACATTACTTTTTTTCTGGACAGTGATCTGCCTTCATCCTGATTAAATATCAATTATCTAAGATTACTTTTTTTTCAGGACAGCGATCCGCCTTCATCCTGATTACATAGAAATTATCTCAGATTACTTTTTTTCAGGACAGCAATCCGTCTTCATCCTGATTACACATAACTGATTGAACTGTCTCTTTAATACATAATCTTTTAAGTAACCAGGTTGTCTGATTGTTCTCTTTGGTCTGGTGTAAATTGGTTCTTCAATATGATCACTGTTTTTCTCTTGCTGTGTCATCTTCTCATCAACTGAATTCTCTGTATTTAATGCAATATCATTTAAGTTTGGAATATTCTGTCTGTCTGTTGCTGCAATGTCACTTTTCACTGTAATATATCACTAAGTTGCAATTCACATGCATCATCTTGTCTTCTCATCTCATTTGTGTTTTCTTTCAAATACGAGTCTGCTGGAATTTTCATTACATCATCTGTTGTGTTCACGACATTGTAACACAGTTTGAATTGACTTGCGTCTCTGCAGATTGTTCTTCTGTCTGTAACTCTTCTGGCAGTAACTTGAGAACCATGTATTTCCATGACGATATAGAAAATCAGTTCATATGGTGTTGAGAGTTTGTTTCTTTTGTTCTGTTTTTAAACTAAAACATAGTCACGTATAATGAGTGTATTCTCCCTCCAAGTTTGATTAGTGTTGGGTCAGTGAGCGTTTTCTGCATTTTCAGATTTGACCATTTATCTGATCATCTTCTCTGTATTTGTGGCAGTGGGCATCTGGAGAGATAATCTGGGTCTGCATCATTCTTTCCTGGCTCATATACCACTTCATAGTCAACACCTTGTAAGTCCATCACCCATTTCTTTATTCTCAGTGGTAATTTTGCTTGTGCTTTGTTAAACATGGGTACTAATGGTTTGTGTGCTTCAATAATACTAAATTCTTCTCTCATGTCCCAGTATGGTTCAATGTCCTCATCTTTTCTGTATAGATTGCTGATTCCAATCTCCTGTTGAGATTCTCCCTCCAAGTTTGATTAGTGTTGGCTCAGTCAGGGTTTTCTCTGGTATCTCATTGAGAATCACTGCATTTTCAGATTTGACCACTCTGTCAAACTGTGTGCCTGAGCTGAAAAAACAAAAAAGAGAAACACTCATTATAAACATTCAAAAGGCCTGTAGCCAGCTATTTCAAAAGTTTTTTTCCTAAAAAAAGTGGACCTTTTACCATGAAACCAGTGTGTACCTAAATGAAAACTTACCCAGAGGGAACCTTTTCCCGTCAAAAAGGGCTGTTTGTTTGCATGTCTAAACTGGCAGTGGTCCGAGGCAAAGTCAAACTTGGCAGCTTCCTCATATTCACAGAAATTTGTACTTTAAAAAAATTGCTAATATGCATCTGATGTTTTGCCATGACTTCATGTAAAAAAAAATCAAACTTAAAATTGTCATCATTTTATATTGGCAATTTCAGCTAAATTTAGAGGGACATTTGATGTGACTTTGCATCTTAAGCCGCCCGACATGCCTCAAAATGTGTCACAACACTATATTCAATGCAGGAATGGTGCAGTCCAGATGTAACATTGTAATAATGTGATGTTATACTTGGCTACATACTGGGGTATGTATGAATTCCTAACATACAAAGTCATTACTTCACTCCAGTTGGAGGGCTATGGCTAATATAAAGAACCCTGATAGGACGAAGTGAACACTGCAAAAATCCCCACAAATAACTTTTTAAGACAACATATACAAACCCTACCCTCTACCAGGGCGACTGATAGATTTTTATGGATATTCACAGATATGTCTCTAGCTAGATAGATTGTCATTTTAACTCTGACTTAGAGTTAAAATGACAATATACGTTTTACCTCAGATATTTCCAGGAATCCAGATCTACTGAATAACACTTATAACACTCCCTTTATCTATCCTCTAGCTCTTGTATCTGCAGCTCCTTCCTCTCTCTCTCCTCCCTCTCTCTCTCTCAATAACCCCGCCCAACTGTCGCTTCAATCCCAAGACTTCCGGTACCAGATCACTGCAACAAAGTACTCACCCTTCTGTCATCAAGAATGTGTTTGCATGCATTTAAAAGGATGCTGGAATCGTGGAATGTCCCACTGCTTCAGATCAAACTTTTATGGTAACCCATAAATATATCTTGGCCTTAGTATAACGTTATTTTATAACGTGTAAAATTTTCCCGCTCCGCCTGACTAAGTAGGTCAAAGAAAACCCGCAGTGAATACTGGGTCACATCTCGGTACATCCGGTCACATGAAGCGCGCTGGTGTTTTACTCTGCTTCCCAGTTATCGCATATCTTTTGATTTTTCGTTTAGATATAATATTATTGATTATTGATTGAGAATAAATTATAACAAAAAGGTAATTATAACTTGCTTTTCATTGTTATTATTATATTTTTTCTTTTTGCTTCAACTTTTGCTGGATCTCGGCACTGCTAACACAACGTTCAATTTGAGCAAATGGAGCATTTTTAAGGACCTTCGCATTTAGAGCAAATAGGGCCTATCACCAAAGTATACTAAACAAACTTGAAAATATTCTAAAGTCAATTTTGCCTGCACAGCATCTAGTAGGCCTACCTGTATTTTACTTTTATAGACTGCGCTAGAGACTGCGCTAGTAAGCTTATATTAGATGCGCGTTAATTTTTTCTTTTTCAAAACGTCTAAATTTTCCCCTCAATTCCAAGTATATTTTCTCAATGCCTGGTAACGAAGGTTTTGCAAATGGCTTTTTAAGAGAATGCAAATTTGTCGTGTTTCGTGTAAAACATTTGACTGTGCCCTATTAACATATCGTCCAGCTTATCATGAGGGTTACTGATCACAATTCACGGCCACAGGAAATAAAATCATCAAATCACATAAATTAATTAAAAACTTAATTCGTATCTCATTGAAAATGCTAGTCTGGCGAGCTAAAAATAACTATCATCGAGTATAATAACTTCGTTCACAACGGACGAGGGATAGAAACCCGCAATTCACGATTCACAGAAATGGGGTGCTTCACATCTCGGGGAATGATAAGTGGCTGTTACGGGTAAGGAAAATACCCAACGGGGCCTTCAGTCATTGTCTTAACTAAAATGAATATTTTATTAATGACTAAAATATTTCAAAACATGAAAGCAACTAAAATTAATGATCTAGAGCAAAAATACGTCACGAAGGATTATTCAGCTTTTAAAAGTAGCTGCGAGTTATTTATTGCGTTATCTAAGATAAACATACTCTACATTTTCTGACGTTAGACATTAGGCCTATACTTGCTTCCAAACAAGTATCTTATTTTTCTACTTTATTGAAAATAAAATTTAAGGCAAATTTGAGATGGTGTTGCAAGCGACAGTAACAAAGGTCTAAAAATGACTCTGCATTTCGTGTTTTAAATATGATTAGCACATGTGCTCAACTAACTTATGCAACGATTTTCGTGTGCATCGAAAGACTCACCAAAGAAAGAGCGAAAGAGACAAAATGTTGTTATTATTCATCTACACAACGTACCTCCGACCGTGTTGGGAGTTCGACCCACTTGAGGACTCAGATGATAGCTGTCGTCAATACTGCTTTTACTTAACGTAACAAACGCAATCGTCCTTTGCGCTCAAATCATAAACAGGAATCTTTCTTCAAAAATTATTAAACACATCCTTACGTTTTATACATAGGCCTATCTATGAATATCTAGTGAAAACTCTATCTGTGACTCAGGTAGAGTGTACTTTCTCTCTCTCTCTCTCTCTCTCTCTTCTCCGGTTGTCTCTGGCCGAATTCACAATCAGTTGATCCTCGGACCAGAGTCAGATAACAAATCTCTTTTATGATAATTAACTGTTATGACTGATAAATAAAACTGCAGATTTTCATTCGACAGCATCTTCCGTATCTTTACGAAAAAATATATTGAAAACGCATCTGTAAAGATTAACTCTGAAAGATGAAAAAATGCCTGAGCTTTTGCTTGTGAACCTTTTTCACCAAAACAAGAAGAAACAAGCAAACTACAGGGATGCGTGACGTATGATGCATATGTAAGAGGGACACGAAGTTAGAAGTGCGTGATAAAGGTTAACGTCTTGAAGATTACGTAATAATAAAACAAGACTAATATTCGTTGAGATATTCATTGTCTCTGTATAGTCCTTTTTAAAAAGTGTATAATATTTTTTATGAACTTGTGCTCGACAATTGTCTTTGAATTGTGTCGCGTATGTGTCCTTTTAAAATGGTGACTGTTTGTACTGTGGTGGTTCTTGATGCGAGTTTTAAGGGCGTAAGACAGCTTTTTTTCTATCGTTTTCACTTTTAATTACTATTAGCTCTATTACTGTACATAGCTACCGATTATCTGCGCTTTAAGCTTGTACTTTTTATTACAGATACAAGCAAGGCAAGCAAAAAGTCTCTGGCAGTGAATTGTGAACTGTTGCTGCTACCACTCCTACATAAAGTAGATATTGCAAACATACATCGGTACATGAATCAATAAGATATCAGACAACTTTCATGGAAAATAAACTGAAATTAAAGCTAGATATTCTTTTATCTATTATCGTTTCGCATTTACGTTAAATCTCGGCACGTACGTCTTCATCACCATCATACTTCCGTCGCAGTCCGAAGCGACGAAGTTCAAACAGTGCACATCAAAACCATAAATCAGGAGTCCTTACGTAGGAAACCACGCGCTAGAGAACGGGTTTAATTAAGGCATTCTTGTTGGCGGTATTGTCACTAATTTATAGAATCATGAACAAATCTGGATGACTCTATCTAGGACAAAGTAATTATTGGCTAAAAATAAAAAAAAAATACTTTTCAGAATAATACAAGAAAAATTAATGAAAAGATCAAAGGCAAAATAATTTTAAATTAAAAATGGAACCTGAACAACAAATACAGCTTCAAGCAAATGGAAATAAAAATAGAATATACACACCTTTGACTTACGAGTTAAGCTACAATTAATTTTTAAAAATAATGTCGGTACCTTGTCAATGTATGGCAGGACTACGTGAAAACGACATGTACACCCTCCCCTAAAAAGGAGAACCAAATCCAATGGGGCCGTAGCGATAGTCCGAAGGTTCAATAGTCCGAAGGTTCATTGGTCCGAATGTTCACTGTAGAACCTTCGGACCAATGAACCTTCGGACTATCGAGACGCCCCCAATCCAATAATCGCAGTTGTACATCGGTTCNAACCCTATTTTGTGATAATATTGATAAACAAGAAAGTGACAAAATTTTGCAATACATTGGTAATCTTAACATAAATGATGTCTGTAAGGAGAAAATAGACTTTATCACAGAAAAAATTGCTGAAATTTTGCTTAACTCAGCTAAATTAGCGCTAGGGACATACAAGTATAGAATTAGTAACAAAAATGAAATTCTTAAGAAAAGGAAAAATAATGTATGGTTTGACAAAAAATGTTTAGAAACTAAAAAACAATATAGAAGAGCAAAAAGGTTATACAATAAGTACGGGTCAAATATTTTCAAAAGTGAACTTAGAAAAGCAGAAAAGTGCTACAAGACCACACTAGATAATAGAATAAAAAAGCATAGAATAACTATTATGAACAAAATAAGGAAACTCAGGTATGCAAGTCCAAAGGAATATTGGAAAATATTAAACAAAAAAATCTGAACAAAGACTGGAAATAAAAAACCTAGACGAGTTTTACAATTAAAGCTATGCAACTAAAGCTATGTATGGGATATTTAAGAAAGCAAGGCATCTAAATCTAAGCATTGTTGATCAGCTATATCTCTTTGATAAGATTATTGTTCCGATTTTATTATATGGATGTGAAGTATGGGGATTTGGTAATTTAGAAATCATAGAACAGGTGCACTTGAAATTTTGTAGATATCTATTAAATCTAAAAACCAGCACTCCCAAGATAATGATATATGGAGAATTAGGTAGAATGCCATTAAGTATTATTATAAAAGGAAGAATTGTATCATTCTGGACAAACTTGCTCACAGGTAAACAAAGTAAATTTTCATATATATTGTATAAACTCGTTTATAACAAATTTATGCAGGGATGTGAATGTAAGTGGATGGGAAATCTGAAATCCATTCTGGATAACTGTGGTTTAAGTAATATATTTAGCACACAGGATGTCTGTAACAAGGAATGGCTTATAAATTGTGTTAAACAGAAATTGCAGGATCAGTATATACAAGAATGGAATTCAGATTGTAACAACTCTAGTAAAGGGTTAAGCTATAGTATTTTCACAAACTCAGAGTTTAAATGCAGGAATTATATACTTTCTACATTATGTACACACAAAATAATTACAATAGCTAGATTCAGAACAACAAATCATAGATTGAAACGGGCAGATGGAAAAAAATACCTAGAAATTTGAGATTATGCAACTTGTGTAAAAATGAAATAGGGGATGAATTTCATTATGTCTTTAGATGTACCTTTTTTGCAGAAAGTCGAAACTTATATATTCCAAAAAAAGCATGTATTAGACCGAATGTAATTAAAATGTATGAAATATTTTCAACGAAAAATAAGAAAAAACTGAATAATTTGTACAAATTCATTAGTATTGTTAAGAAGGGGGTCAAACCTTCAGGTTGATGTATATATATATATGCTCTCTAAACTGTAAATGTACAGTAAATGAGAATAAACTATTTCTGATTTCTGATTTCTGAACAGAATCCATTGCAGGCTAGATTCCATGGACCCTACAAGATCCAGTGCAGATACAGTGGCAGCTGTGAATAGTCCAAATAGAGGCAATGTAATAACTTCAGACTGCATTTATCTAGACCTTTGCTACGTCTGTGCATACTTACGGTAGATCACGCTGGGAAATAGGATAAAATCTTTTAGATGATGAAATGTCGCATGCGGGTGAAAAACCCAGAGATGATAGAATATCAGTGATTTTCACAGGCTGACAAAACAAGTAAAGATAAATCTGTGGGATGCAGGGAAATCCGCCACTA